CATAGTTGTGAATAGTAGAGTCATATCCATACTCAAACCCACATCCTGTAGATCACGTTCGAGATCCTCAATAAAGCTTAAGCGTTATTTCTCATACCTGAACACGCACTAAGTTACAGATGTCTATTTATATTACAATATAATAGCAAAGGGAGATGTTCTCAATGTGAGTGGATATCTCAAACGAAATGCTAAACAAAAATGATACAAAAAGTCACTTTATCATCTATGGATTCATGCATTGTTCACTCAGATAATAGAAAAGAAAAACATCATTGTTTTTATGGATGGTATTGGTCAAACCGAACCGATGATTATCTCTGTATCTGGATAAAGATTAATAAGTTAAAAAGATCGATAAGTCTCTTTAATCGATGTTGAAATACGTTTAAATAATATAGCAAAGGACTCTATTTTTATGACTCATATGTCTTTACTAAAAATTGTACCAATGCATTCGATTGTGCTAAGATCTGTACCACGATATTTTATTCATCCATAAGTTAATGCAATAGTTGATCGATTTTGTTTATATATCTTACCTGAAATTAATGAAAAAATCGAATGGTTTGATCTTGAATCATTAACGATGGAAAATATTCTTCATGCGACAAATTATCCTAATTTAGATGGACTTACCCTAGTCGAACATCTTGTAGGCAAGATCTTGGTCAAGATCTTAGGTACAGAAAAGTAAATAGATCTTGAAAATTTAGGTACAAGATAATCATATTATCTTGTACCAAGATCTTGAATCAGATCTTGGGTACAGATATATAAGATTTTAGGTACAGATTCATAAGATCTTAGGTACAGATTTATAAGATCTTAGGTATAGATCCGTAAGATCTGGGTACATACCAAGATAAAAAGTGTTGCATGTATCGGATTTGCAATACAATCCATGATACAATCTGAAAGCGTGGCTCAAACCTATCATACAGCGTATTTATTATTCTTTTTCTGTAAAAGCATGTTATGAAATTTTCTCAATTTATCTACATTTTAAGTATTCCTATTTTGAATAGCTGAAGCAAGCCCAACCTCAGAACTTGCCTGTTCTTGAGATGGTTCGATCTCCGTCAGACGGCTTCAGGTAGTCCTCTCTCGATCAGTGATCGAGATCAGCAATTTCTCGAATGATTAATAGTCGAGAAAGAGTTTAGAAAAAAAATTATTTCGAAAAGTGTATGCTTCGTATATTCCATCATGTTGTTTATATAAGGCTCTGTATGCATAAAAAAAAACGGTGAATGACTAGTCAGTATGTAACCAATACAATAATGATGTCGCTGTTTGTTTTTTTCAAGATCTTGTGAAAAGATAATAGTGAATGATATAATTTCCATGATCTTGACAAGATTGTGGTATAGATTTATCAGATATAGTCAAGATCTTCACATACAAATTATGTTTTCAAGATCTTATCAAGATCTTGCTTATCGGTCCCAAGATTCCAAGATCTTGCTTACAATATGTTCGACTAGGGTAGTTTATATAATATCCAAGGAGAAAAAGCTCTACATATTTTTTCTGGTAAAATAATTGTCTTGGGTTTCTCACTAATAAATACGTTAAAACGATATGTTAAATGAATTCATTTGAATCAACTTATGTTGCTATTAGAAAACTCTTATAAAGGTAATCGACTCAAATAGAGAATAAAATTTTATAATACAAAAGGTTCGATATTGTCTTGAATTTAAGTTTTTATACGTAAGTTTCGAAAAAAAGAAATCTCAAATAAAACAGATAATAACGACTTACGATTTGTCATACAATAAAGCATTTATGATAGAGCATATTCGATTAGATAATCCGAAAGAAGAAAATTAAATACATAAATTATAAGACTATTAAAAAATGAATCAAGTAAAAAAACAAGTCTCTTTAGCACATGTTCTTGGAGCTAAAATGCAGAACTCACTATTTTCTTCGAAAATATATATGAATTCCATAATTGTATTAACGATATATTGCTTTTGAATCATGCTTTTGATTGATATTTGCATAGATAGCTCACTGCAAGAAATAAAGGTTCTCAGAAGAGTTGTTTTTTTTTTCTATAGAACTTTATGTAGTGCGTCTTGTGATGATCATTTTAATTAAAAAATCATCAAGTTAAGTCAGTAAATCATGATGTTGGGACTAAACTACTAAAAATCTTCACATATTGATCACTACGGCTGAGGGTTCATTGACATTTTCAACTACTCTTCTTCTATCATGATGATTTCAACAAGCTCTAAAAATATGATCATAAATCTTATGACATATTTTTCTCAAGGATTTTTTTTTATTGTTTAGATGAAGCTCTTTTCAGTTCTACATTGAAAAATCAAATTTTATCGCTTGTTATCGATATTAATATAAATGAAATAGAATCTCATAAACAAGGTAGAAATGCAATTATATTTTTCATAGATTATTGATAAGTTCACTAATTTACGATATTTAAATTTCTGTCCGCCTTCAATTAGTCATCAACAAATATCATTTTGTACCACATCCATAACTGTTATCTCTGAAAATTTATTAGATTTACATGTATCTTTGGCTAACTTTACTAATTGTCTTTAGTTATTTGGTGGTCGTTTCTATAAACTTCATATACTTAATGTTAATATATTTTGCATTTATTCTCCGCCTTTAATAGTCCATAATAAGATACTTTATTTTTTTTTATGTTAAATCAATGAATAATATTGTGTTTTTTTTTTGTTAGGAAAAACTGTTTAATTTAAAATGCTTTTCACTTTATTGTACTTGGGAAATATTTGGTTATGGTGAATTAATTGTGCCAGTTTTACATCGAATGTCAAATTTAGAAAAACTTGATTTATATCTTATTGTTTGTCAAAGACAAACATTTATTGATGGTAATCAATTAAAAATAAATATTATTAATCATATGTCAGAATTTTAAAAAATTGATATTTAATATTCGTTCATCAGGTCATTTTTATAATGAAATTAATTTACCATTAAATGAAGATATTCAAAATACATTCACACAATCAAAAGATAATAAAATAATATGTTGTACTGATTATTTTCCAAAGAGAAAATATGGTCAATGTCATATTTATTCATATCTATATAAATAGAAATATTATGATTGTATAACAAATAAATATCCCAGTCGAATATTTAAATGTGTTCGTAAAATATCATTATTTGATAAACAACCTTTTGAACATGATTTTTTTTCTTCGAATTTCTCAATCATGTTCATTTGTACAAATTTTAATTATTATAAATGAAAAACGACAGAATAAGATACAATTTAGACAATCAATACATGAAAATCAAGATGTATCAATCATTGAATATTCTCATCTTCTTCATCTTGACCTTTCTAAAGCTTACAAGGATTATTACAAACAATTTTTATTTGATACAAAAATGTCTTTAACAAATTCTCTTTCTATTTTTATGATTTATTCAATAGCAAAGAAAATGAGAAAGAATTTCACAAGAAATATAACACGAATAAATTGTTTGAAAATAAGTTACCATCATTTTTATCCAAAATAAATATATCCAAAATATTCAAAAAGATTATTTTCCTCATGCAAAAATATTTTGATTATTATCGATGATTATTATTCAAATAAAATATGAGCCAAATAAGATTAATTTACATAGAATTAAATTGTTGAAATAGATATGTGCATGATGGAGATCGATTGCTCAATATGTACATTAGAGAAGATTCATTATTATAAATAAATATAAGTTTATCTGCTTGTATATATTATCTAGGGAAAAAAACCAAAATAAAAGTAGAATTAAAAAATCAATATTAGATATCGAAAGGAAATAAATAATTAGTGAATATCCTAAGTCAAAGATGTATTAGCATAAGAATGATTGATTCTATTCAATGAGCACTGTATGAAGAAGAAAATAATCAGAAATTCATATTTTCATCTATTCAGTGAATCTATACAATTGAACATTCATACATAAAACTCAGTGAAATAGATCGGTCAATTGTTCAAAATCAATTATTATATAAACTGATATTTGTTAAACATAGATTTTCAATATGATTAATTAGTAATAGAGCCGATGCTCGCTTTCATACCGATATTTAACAAATTAATTTTTTAAGTTTTATAATTTCTCATTATTTTGATAAGAAAAAAACTGCAACTTTTTTCTAAGGCTGAATCGAATTATCAACAATTGAAATTTTGCTATGTACAACAAAAAATATCTTCTATATTGTTGGCTTTGGTCATTTTATTGGAACTATGAATTGAAAATATATGAACAAATATTTAAGAAGAAGCAAATATAACTGAATGAATGACTACTAATTAATAGGTATTTTTACATTGATAATTCTTCTTTAATAATTGGCCATGATGAATTCATACGAATAGATGCTTGAGCAGCTTTACATCGATACATCTAGAGTCGGTCTATCATTGCAAGATGATCACATTTATATGCAATCATCGTCATTTAAATGTTGTTCGTCTTCGTTCTTTGGTTGTTTTATTACCACAGGATTGACTAAAACAATGAGATGTGGGTGTGGTTGAAGACAAGATTCACATCCACACTCATCTTCGCATCGCTATCAAGACGTTCTATCAGAGCTGACTTCATATCATGATTATTGAAATGGTTTATATCGATACTGCTACGCAGATATGTTTTTCGCATGTGACATCATCGCTCAGAAACTTACGTGACGTTTGAGCATAAGAAAATCTTTGTCAAATCTTCGAAAACCTAGATAATTTGCGCATGTGAATGAGATGGTTGGGTCTTCTCTCCAATCATCCCCACATTCATACCATATTAATGAAATACAAATGATACTCGATATAAAACAGCTATGACTGTCCTTATTTTGAAACAAGCCTTATATATGGTCTTTATTATTGTGATGTTTCTTAAATATATGCGTAACATTTGAGTATATTGCTTTTCTTTCTAATATGAATATTATGAATGAATTCAACTCAAACAAAAAATATTGGGCTGTCTTGTTTAATTTTCTTGCAGCTTAAACTCGATTGTGCTTTATTCGTTTCTATCTTCAAACATTTTTTACTAATGGAAACGTATTTTAGACATTTTTTTTGGTTCTTCAAAAAGTATTCTTTAAAGAATAGAACGAAATCTATGCGTCTTTCATTTTCTTCTAAGCATTTTCCAAATGGTGCTAAAATCGCGAAAGGAAGAACAAAAAGAAAAACTAGTAATATTTTGTTGTTGTTGTTGTTGTGGGTATGGATGTGACGATTTCTGATGGAAGAAGTGTTAGCGCTGGTGAAGTTACGCTTTATTATATTTCTTCTTCTCAAGAATCGCATCGTTTCCATGCAAAACATACACTTATATACTCGCTCATCAGACAGAAGAAATGAAGAGAAGGGCAAAGTGCAACATGATGTACGAAGTAATGACAGAAAGATAAGGACAATACATAAGATGAGAAGGAATAGTAAGGGCAGGTCAAACATCATGCATAATATGCACTTACTCGGGAATGTTACAACTATATCAATTGAACAAGTTAAAATTAAAAGACAAATTGCAAGTTGCAGGTCAATAAAAGCATGGAAGACCAGTATATTCAAATATAGAATTTTAAAGAGTGTAGCATCTTAGTTTGCAGTTGAAATCTATTTCACTTTCAAAGATTTCTACTTTTCAATTGAATTTACTATTCTATACATTCATTCGATATAATGAAAACTGAACTCTTATTAGTGAAATATAATTTTTGATGAAGAAAATGTTATGAGTACGATGATAATTATTGCATAAAACAGATATGCCCGGCTAGCTCAGTCGGTAGAGCGTGAGACTCTTAATCTCAATGTCGTGGGTTCGAGCCCCACGTTGGGCGTAACTTTTTTTTTCTTCGCTCTTACTCTTCTGTGAATAATAATCAGATACCTCAATTTTTTTTTTCTATTCAGCTATCAAAATAATCGATTACGACCATAATGACTTTTTTTCATGATTTAAATCTGAAAGAATAAAGAATAAAACAATATATGTAGTTGCTCATTTTTCGATAATTAGTATATTTCAGATTGGCAACAGATGATCTGATAGAAGGTAACAGATGGTTATTAATAACAACAAGGAAAACGAAAGCAATTCAAATTATTCTTGATAAATTCGCTTCAGTATTCGTATTGATTGGGTGTAAGTGTGAGTAGAAATGAAATAACTGATATATTTTCTAGTCTTTCTTCATCCAAGACAAACAAACTAGTTCTATCATTTAGGACGAAAAAGGATTTACGTCATGATCAATTTAATCAGAGTCAGTAGGAAAAGGTGTT